CTGACTGCCTCAGCGGGTAGGGCGCAATGACCTTAACATTAACATGGGCCAGTGAGTGGCATCCTCCTGATAAAGTGAACTGGCATCTTAAGGTGCTTAACCATAGAGTTGGGAGGACTATGGGTGGAGCTTGGCCCCTTGTTAACTCTATAATCCTGACTTCCTGATTATCCTTATGGTAATTTCTGGGGGAGAGATTGTAATAAAGGGATTAGCCATCTTGGAACCAGGGTCTTTTTTCCTGCACGTGGGCTGCCGGTTGGAGCCCCGTGTCAGAGGTGTGCTTTCTCGCTCTGTGGTGGTGGTCTTGCTTCTTTTTCTTTTCCCGATAAACCTTTTCTTTTGTGGATTACTTGGAGAGTTATTTTTCACCAGTCAACACTCCACAACTAGACTCAGAACAACGGCTGGAAGGTGGGGAGTGGGGGGAGCCAATAAAAATTAAAAATACAAGTCTCTCTTAGCCTGATCCCTCAACCCACCCACCCCCTTTCCAGCCAATAGTCAGGCTCCAGTTGTGATTCCAGAAACTGCCAGCACCTCCTTTTGCCTGGTCTATCTCCACCCTGTCCCTGACCTCCCCCAACCCTATCTGAAAGCCCAAGCTGGGTGTGACCTGGCCCTTCCTACCTCCCCACGATATTCTAAACATACCTGTGCCTTGGCCTGCCTCACCAGCCCAGGACAGGGACCTGGGTCAAGGTGTTGAGTGGATTCCCGAGGCCCCCACACAAAACACACAGACACACAAGAGAAAGGGGTTCTCTCATCCTTTATCTCCGATGGGATCAACGGCCCTCCAGTGCCCGGTCTCGAGCGATGACAGCCTCCTCGAATTTGATCATGAGTGTGGTGCCCTTGTGCCAATGCGCCGTGACCTTGGCGGGGAAGCCGCTGTGTGTGAGCACTGCCTCCACAATGCCCGCCGTGAAGCTGGCACAGTTGAGTGTGCTGTTTTCCTTGGGTACCGAAATGTAGGTGTTGATGAGTGGTTCCCGCTCGATTATGTAGAAGGTTCGCGCATCGTCATTGGCCTGCTCCAGCTTGTCAGCCTCCTTGCCAAAGAGTGCCTTCCACACAGCGCCCTTTACGAAGAGCAGGGCGCCCAGCACCTTGGTCTCGCGCCGAGCACCTTTTTCGCGAGCCACCAGCGCATCCAGAACGCGAGCGCCCACCTGGCGGCCCAGTGCGGCCAGGCGTGCCTGCAGCTCCGCCACGGAGAAGACGCGGCTCTGGCAGTGCTGCACCAACTCTGAGAAGAGCAGCGCAAAGGCGCTCAGGCTCACCTCCGTGCGCGGCCGCGCCAGCGCGCGCTCCAGCAGTGCTGACTTCCCGCGCGTGAAGCGCGCCTCCATGCCGCCGCTGCCCTGCGGGAGAACAGGCATTGCCAGTGTTAAGGGTGGGAGGGAGAACCCTGGGACCCCCCGGCCCAGCCCCACGCGCTCTACTGCTGACTTCCCACATAGGAATTGATAAATGGAAGGAAAGGGGGCATTCACCTGTGTGTAAATCTCGCCTTCATTACGCCTAGCCAGCAAAGGATAAATGGGGGGAAGGGTGGGCTTATACCCTCGAGCAGGAGTGAGTTTAGGGGGAAGGTGTGAGGAGAGCCAGCAGGATCACAAGGGAGCGCTGGAAACCACCCCAACCCTCGAGTTCCAGATGATTCCACCTGCGTGAAAAACACCTTTGTACTCACTCCGCCACCTGTGGCCACAACTAGAAAACTAGTGAGAGGGTGGGGGTGCGGGGCATCAGACCTAGGGCTGGTGGGGTCAAGGACACAGTGCGCGGACACTGGCAATTGTCTCTCCCCTCGAGTGCACTACAGCACTGACTTCCTGCGGGGGAAGCGAACTTCCCTGTCTCTCCCCCTCTCCCCTTCGGAAAATCAGACACATGGGAGGTGGAAGTAGGGGTTGTGTCGAGACCAAAGGACAGGATTGGAGGTTTGAACAGACTTGGAGGTTTGAACAGACGAGATACAAGGGACAAGCCGGGGAGGGGACACACGCTGGGAATCCTTCCAACCCTGCTCCTTCGGGCTCGGGACATGGATGGGCCTGCATTTGTAAGAAAGACTGGGCGGGTGGAGGTGGGGGCGGAGAAGGTGTCGGGCGCCCGCCACCACCTTGCTCTCCACAAAGGTAGCTGGACTAGAGGGAGGAGGCGGACCGTCAGACCCGGGGCTTGGGGGAGCCAGGAGGGGGGACGCTGTGATCTTTCATCCCGGCGCTAGAAGCCACAGCGGTCGGTGGGAGAGAGACCGGAGAGGGGGGCTGTTGGAGAAACCCCGAGGAGTTGCTAAGACCCCCCACAATGTGGCTCTGCGGTGGGGGTGGCGGCGGATGGGGGGATCCCAAGAGCGCTGAGACCCTTCCTTCCCCTCCACCCTCACCCACTCAAGTGTGAGGCCGCCGCCCACGGCAGGTTCGGGAGGGAGAGCTGAGAATCCCGCCCCCACCAGGCAGGGACGGAGCCAGAGGCCGGAAGGGTCTGGGGATGCTGAAACCGCCCCCAAGAGGTCTGCGTGGAGGATGGGAAGACCAGCGGGGTCACAGGGGCTCCAGGACGCCCCCGCCCGGGTGCGCAGCCGCCTACATGGGTAGGGCTCAGCGCACGAGACGGGAGAGGGAGTGTGAAGACCACTCCACCGGGCTGCGATGAGGGGTAGTAAGCCGAACCGCGGAAAGGCCGGGGCCCTTAGACATCGCCCCCGCGCGAAGCGAACAGAGGAACCGAGGAGGAGCCCACCCTCCTTGCGGTCCCCTGGGTGGGCCGGAGCGGGCGGTCCGGGGATCGTGGACGCCGAAATCCTGGCCCAGGACCTATAGGCCCGCGGGGAGAGGTCGGAGCAGACACCGCCCGGCGCGGGTAGGGGGCGCGGGCGGCTGGGGGGTCTCACCGGGAACTGCAGCCGTCAGCTCGGACGAGCTGCTTTACGACGCCGTAAAAGGCCTTGTGTGCGCAGGCGCCTCGGCGGCCGGGCGTGTGGGCGGGGCGCGCGCGCCGTGATTCCCGAGAACAGCCGCCTGGGGTCGCGCGTGTCTGCGGGGCCAGACACAGGGATGCGGTCCCTTGGCAGGGCCCTTGCTGGCCTCGGTTGGCCCATGTTCACTGGGACAGTAACGTGGATGGTCACATTCTCAGGTGCACCCGTTTGACGATGGGTTACATGTGTACATATGTATATCTCAAGCCACAAACCCTCATGGGCACACATTCAGGGACACAGGGACTCATTTACTCTCTGGGTACACGTTTGTGGACACACAGGGACCCACTCGAGACATCGTTCTCACACGCTTTTATGCCCTCAGGGATCCTGGCATCATGTCCACCTGTTCACTGTGTGGCTTTTCCCATTCCCCAAATGCAAACACTTGCAGACCCTCACCCACCAGGCCCCAAAGCTCTCCAGTCGCTCCATTAACAGATCTGAAAGCCACTTTGTTTTCCCTTGGCCTTTATTTCCATGAACCACAAAATCTGAATGCAGAAACAGACCCACGTGTGTACATGCTCTGAACACCTTCCATGACATAATTAGGCACATTCACATTGACAAACACCTGTTCACGCAGGCACAGAGAGTGACAGGGCACACACCACACCACAATTACAGTGATATATTCCCCTGGTGTGCTACACACACACTTCCACTATGACACGTTTATACACACAACATACTGCAGGATACTCATGCTTGTTTATACTCATAGTGAAACATGCATGGGCAACACGTGTCAGTAACACCTACCCTCACAGTGACACACCTTTGTGGTCCCTGCTGACACAGCCACCCACTGTGACATGCATAACACAACATGCCACGATACATGTCACATAGACAGTGACACAGGCATGCACACCACACCCTCTGTGACGCCTACATTCAACATTCACCCAATACACCTTCCTGTGGGACACACTGAAATACCCACCCTCCATGAAATGCTTACCCCACAGACACACACACACGCACGCGCGCGCACACACACAACTCCACAACACTCATTCACCATGACGCATGATTTTCTATGTGTGGGGATGATGGACGGGTTGAGAGTAGGCTGGGGCCCCCATGTTCCATCTTCACTGGAAGGTACCACCCCGTCAAGGTACCAAGCCCTTCAGCCAGGGCTCCTATGTCTTCTTGTTTATGGAGCTGCAGGCTCTGGAGGAGTAGAGATGTGAGGTCAGGTAGATCACCCCCCAGCCCTTGGTAGAGAAGCTAGGGCCAAATCCAGGGCTCCACCTCCCCAGGCCCCAACTTACTTTGAGTTTGTAAATTCTGCAGCTTCTCAGAGATTTTATCTAGTTGAGTCTTGATTTGGCCTATGTCTGGTGGTAGGGAGAAACAGGAGGAAGCTGGGGTGGGGCCCCAGACAAGGCCTCCACTTTTATTGGAAGTCTTCTTGCCTGATCCCCAGGCTGGGATGCCGCAGAGCCTGTGCACTTAGGGTTTCCAGCAGCATTTAAATACCCCCCAAGTGACCTGAAGGTAACATCCATCACCCTTGCAAACCCTGCACTCTGGGAAGGCAAGACCTGTGCTGTCCCCTCCCCCGATTCCCCAGCACCACAATTCGCCCAGTGAAGGTCCACAAGGGCACCTGCTGGCAGCGTCCCCACTTTCTTGTGATAGTTCTGGACATTGCTGTTGACCGTGTCAATGAGCTTTTTGGTTTCGCTGATGCTCTTCTTGACATTGTTCCAGCCCTGCTTCTGCTCTTCCTGGCACTCCTGTGTTGAGTTGGAGACTGAGGGAATGGAGCAGGGATGTTTGTGTCACCACTGCTCTCCCTAGCCCCACCCCAACCCTTCAGGTCTTCCCCAGGCCCTCCCCTCACCATTCGAGAGCTCCTTTTTCAAGACCAGCAGCTCCTGGGACATCTCAGAATCTGTTCAGTATGGGGAGGACACGAAAACCCTTGAGGCATCCCAGTTCTGCAGGCCTGGGAGCAGGGGTGGGGGAAGGGAGAGGAACTGGGAGAAAGGGAAATGATGGGAACACTAGGCCTCCCCAGCTCCTTAGGACACCTCCGCACTGCCCCAATCCCCTCCCCCACCACCAAAACCCAAAAAACAGTCTACTCACTCTTCACCAGGACATAGGCCAACAGAATGATGCAAAACAGGGCAAGGAGAATGTACAGGCTCATGATGGCTCTGTGCAACCAATGGGGGACCTGGGCAGAGTCCGAGGACGGCCTGGACCGAGTTGGGACTGGGGCAGAGGCAGGACAAGGGCTCAACACTGCTACTCGGACCTTCAGTACTGACTAATACTATCAATAGCCCTGTCACCTACACCCACTCTTCCCAATACCATCAGCAGTTGGGACCGTCAACAACACTGCCACCAACATGCACCCTGACCTGCATTACCAGCATTTGTCCCTAACACTGTCACCATCATGCCCCCGCTCCCCATCTTCATCACCAACAGTCACAAATGTCAGCAGTAGCTGTCACCAACAGCCACCAACATCAATGCCCATTGTTGTCAGCATTGTTCCCATCAATAGCACCCTCATTAGTTCTGTCTAAGTGATTCCTTCCCAATCCACTACATTGTCACCTACTCACCATTACCATCACCCAAACCTTCACCAACACTTCCAACTGCACAATTACCACCACCTCTAAAGCTACCTTCACCACAGTCACACACAAGCCTTGATGCCACCACACCCCACACCACTGACCCCAACCTTCACATACATCTGCTGTTCCTGCAATGCTTTCCCACGGACCCCTCCCAAGGCTGTGGGATGTGGACTGGTGGGCGGCTGCTCACCCTTATTCTTGGGTGATGCATGACAGCCCTTTGGCTGGTCCCGGTTTCTGAAGGCCAAGGTGATATTCTCATAGTCAGGGTCATGTACATCTGTGGATGAGTCAGTGGGAAGCATTTGGAAATCTGCCTGGAGCTCTGGGGTGGGGGCTAGGGGTGGGGATGGGAGAAGGGCTCAGAAATCTTGGTTCACCAAACCCCCGAACACAACATATTTCTGGGGATAAAATATAAGGAGTAGGAACCTAAGATCTGTTTCTTGGTAAAGAGAAGAGGGTTGTATGAGCATTTGGGTGATACACACGCACACACATAAATTTTGGGGAGGGGAAGAAACCCTCTGACCCCCACTCTCAGCCCCTTACCTCTCTCATCTTAGCCTCTCCCTCTTGACCTCCTCCACCACCCCCAGGTACCTAACCTTTTTTATTGTCTGGGGTCCCCCGTTGCTTGTCTTTGGAGGCTGCTGCCTGCATCCTGGCCTCCTGGTTCATGTAGATTTCCTCAGCCTCCATGGTCCCCAGTGTGCCAATTTGTCCACACATATCTCCACCCACCGGAAGGTGTCTCAACAGATGAGGAAATCTCCGGGTTGGGGTACGGGCAAGGAAGGAGAGGTCAGCCTCCTCTTTTCAGGGATCCAGGACCCTCCACCCTAGGGCATCCTCACCCACCCAGATCAAGAGAGGTTTTAGGAGACCAGAAGTCTCAGGGAGGACCAAGAAGAGAAGCCCATAGACCCAGAGACAGAACATAATGGTCAGGAACTTGTGATGAAAGTGTTAGCTAACACTATGATCATTTTGCAATATATAAGTGTATCAAATCAACATGTTGTGCATCTTAAATGTATACAATGTAATGTGTCAATTGTATTCAATAAAAATAAATAAAAAAATTTAAATGGTCACCTTACCGGAAGCTGTGTGTGTGTGTCTACCTGGATGAACCTCATCTTCCTGTCCTCTCTCTCTCATAAGAGAGAAGCTGTGGCACCTCAGAGTCCTACCTTTTAGGATAGAGATACTCAGCGTTAGAGGCAGGATTCCTGGGTCCCCAATCCCACCCCAAAAAATTCTACTTCTTCAAAGCCCCGTGGAGGAAAGGAACGGATGTGAGGCAATGGTGCTAACCACTGGAGGTCCACAGCCTTATCTAGGACTGAGGCCAGACCCACGCCTTGACCTTCCTTTGACCTACTTTCCCTCAATCTGGAGACTTCAGACAGAGAAACACACACACTCACTCTCATCCACACATCTGCTCACCTACCCAGACCCACACACATGCATTTGCACACACACACACTCCTGAATACCCTCGGTCACACATCTGCTCATGTATATACATCACACACCCATTTACAAGCTTCCACATGTGTTTACCCAGAGAAACATACACGTTCATGCAGTCAGGCTCCTATACTCTGTTTAGGTGTCTTAACACTCTCTTTGTGTCTATCTGACCTTGAAAACTGGGGATAAAAATGAGACTATGTGTATAGGGAATTTTCTGTGCAAGTCTACAGCAGTGCTTTCCAAGAGAAATATATGAACCATATGTATAAAAATTTTTAGCAGCCACATTATAAAGATAAAGAAACAGAGTAAATTAATTTTATTTTATTCATTTTTTATTTTTAAAACAATTTTTATTGGGGAATTGGGGGAGGGGAACAGTGCTGGGGAATCAGGGGAAGGGGAACAGACAAGTTGCTGTCCTTTTGTTCTTCAGTCTAGTTGTAGAGGATGTTGCTTCACTGGCCCATGTTGGTATTATCATTGTGCTCTTCCCGGGTGAGGCAGATCGGTCTCCGGCCTCTGGACGGCCGCTCATGGCGGCTCTTGGCAGCTCACACTGGCTGCTGGCCACTCACGCTGGCTGTTAGTCATACACGGTAGCTTATGGCAGCCCACTGCAGCAGGGGCTGCAGCCTACGCTGTCACCGGAGACTCATGGCAGCCCAGCTCCAGGTCGAGCTGTTGTTCACCATCTTAGCTGTAGAGGGCAGTGTCACTGGCCCTAATGTGGGATCCAAACCGGGGCCCTGCTGCTCAGAGCTGGCATCCCAAGCCAGCTCTTAACCAACGTGCCACTCGGCCAGCCCTAAATTAATTTTAATAATGTATTTGACATAATATACCTAAACTATTATTGCTTCAGCATGTTGATGATATTTTTAAATTATTGATATATTTTACCTTGGGGGGTACTAAGTCTTCAAAATCAAATATGTACTTACACTTAAGGTGCATTTCAGTTTGGAAGGGTTACATTTAGAATGCTCAAGGACTGCTGTATTGGACAGTATTTATCTAGCGTGTTATAGTTTTCTCCCTTGGAAAAAGTAGGTAAAAGATTTTCTGACAATGTGCAAGAAGCGTTATGTTCTAGGTTTAAAATATATGATTAAATTCAAGATAGCTTTGGAACGGTCCCCCAAGATCTGGTGAGAATAATGTTCTCTTTCTTAAACTATTGCCAACCTCGTCTGCGCCAGGAAGATCTACCTAACAGTGATTAGGTGCCAGCTCCTCCCTCTGATGGTAGAAAGCAGTCAGCCATTGAGCAATTCAACCCCTTCTGATGTATCAGCCACAGAGATGGGCCAATGGGGAGCTGGCTTTGCTCTGATGGACAGGTTCAGGGGACAGGGCCACAGTCTTAACATCTTTCCCTGGTTCAGATGGGGTTAAGACTGGCTCCAGCCCACTGGACCTTGAGAAAAAGGCAGCAATGACACTTGGCGATCCATAAGCAACCATGTCACAGTGACCTGAGAGGGCTCCATAGGGCTGCCTGACCAGCCCCTTTCATGGGGTAACAGTCTCTACTTTCTTTTAAGAAAGCAAATGTGTCCTAATCAGGGATTGGCTTAAGGTAGGCACATGATCCAGGCCCAGTCAATCAGAGTCTAAGGTTTGCCACAGAGCTGGGCAATGAGCTAGACTTAACCAATGAGACTCAGGCATGGGACTTTTGTTGGGTTAATTTAAAAAAAGCCATTCTCTCTTTTTTCCCCTCCACTGGGGCTATCACACTGGGAGATTGTAAGCCTAACGCTGTGACAGGGGAGAAACTACTTGAGAGTGAAACCAGCACTGAGGAAAGCAGACCCTAGAGAGAGCCAAGTCCTGGAGATATCATGTGAGACCTTGGGTTTAGCTTCCTGAATCTTGTTCTAACCCTGGCCTCTCGGTTACATAATCCAGAAACTTCCTTTTTTTTTTTCTCAAGCGAGGTTGAAGTGGAGTCTGTGGCACTTGAAACATCTTGGCTACCACAGGTGGCTGGGCAGTTGAAGAAATAGAGGCTCAAGAAGGGGGCTTGCCTGTCCAAGGTCACATAGGCAGTACGATGTGATCTCCAAGTCTGGGTCCAGAGGATAACTGTACAGGAATTGAGCTCTCTGAGAAGACCCTTCTTGGGGTCCAGTTACAGGAGGGCAATTGGGCAGGGCTTGGAGACAAAGGCATACACTTCAGGGCCTTGGGAAAAGGGAGTGCTCCCCCTCCCCCAAATCAGTGAGGGAAAGGGACAGGCAAGGCACTAAATTCACATTCTCTGGTCCTGGGCACACTTTTGAGTCAGCGGTCGCACTCCAACCCCATGGTCAAAGTGGGGTTAGGAGAGAGGACCTGAGAGGGCAATCCTTGGATTGGAGTTGGGGGGGCTCCTCAGGCAGCAGGAGTGTTCATGATCTCAACTCAAGGCCTCCAGGATCAGACAGGGGACTGTGCCATCATAGTTGGTGGGTGGCATGGAAGGAGAGTCCAAGACATCCTGAAAACCAGGACCCCACCCTGTCACCCATTCTCCAGCCCCCGGAGCCTGCTGCTGGGAACTGTGACTTTTGAATCCAGGGTCCCTTTCAAGGCTGGGCACCAAGGGTTCTGAGGTCTTCATTTCTCAGGGGCTGGATTTTAAGACCCCCACCCCCCCCAACTTTCCTCGGGTTAGGATTCCCAGGAAACTAGACCCTGAATCACCTGGGTTTGTGCCCCCAGGGATGATAGAATTTTCCTTTTAAGGAATTGAGTCCAGACTGAGACCAGTGTTATCCAGGCTGGCATGGGGATTTGATGTTGGAAACATGAGAGTCTGTCCAGGGCATATATGTGTATATGAGCATGTGTCCCTATAGCCTTAGCCTCTGTCAGCATGTCTGTGTATTTCAGGGGTGCCTTCCTGTGTCCCTGTGTGTCTCTGGGAGTCTTCTGTGTGACAGTGGTAACTGGGTTGTGTGTGCACGTGGCCATGTGTAACTCGGTATATGTAGTGTGTGTACACCTGAGTGGTGTACCTGTGTGTGTATGTGGCTGTTTATTCAACAGACATTTCCTGAGCACTTACTATGTGCCACAATCTCCTTTAAGCACCAGAGACACACCAAAGAGCAAACCAGTTCCCTGCCCTGTGTCTTCATATTTGAGTGTTCATGAGGGCGTGTGTATGTGCCCTCTGTGGACTGCAAGTTGTAACTATTCAAAACTGCACCTGCACCTGTGAAAGCTTGAACCTGTGGTGCTTGGCCTCTGGTAGAAGTTCTCAGCAGGCCCGGGTGAAGACTTTTCTGTCCATAGCCATGGCTTTGCCTGAGCCTTGGGGTTCCTCGATGGGGTGGAGACTGTAGGGGCTCAGAGCTCTGGACTGAGGGATAATTCAGGGGTCTAACCTGATGCTGAGGTTGCTGGAGCCCTGGAGTATGTGTGGAGTGGGGGCAGGGATCCCTGTCTCATCCAGACCCAGACCCCAGATGAAGCCTCACTGTGGGGGCTGGGGGAGAATGACCAAGCAACTTCTTGGAAGGCCCAAGACCCGAGTGTGACCGTCAAGGTGGCCTCACAGGTAACTCACTTTTGCTCCTGAAGGAGGCCATGAACCCTTTCTCGGAGGTAGAGGTGGGGGCCAACATGGGAGGAGGGGGAAATGGGGCAGAAGAAAGACACAGTCGCCCCCTCCCCATCTCTGCCTCCCTCTAGCGTCTACACGCCCCGCTCTTTTCAGAGACGCAGGATCAGTTTCCGCACCCCACAAAAGACCCTCTTCTGCATCTTTTCAGGGTTTATTTCCAGCCCCATCCCTCAGAGGCCTGGCCACGCACCCCGGGGCCCTTGCCCGGCTCAAGCAACCTTAGGGCTGCAAACGACAGCAGCGCGCTCCGGTCCAGTCCATGCCTGCGCACTGGCAGTGGCAGGTAGTCTCGGCACGCACGTCCCACGAGCCACAGGCGGAGCCACACGTGCAGCCGGTGACAGCAAAGCCTGCCGGCAGTAATGAAAAAAGCTTGGACCCCAAGCTGGAGGCTTCATGGTGGAGGTCTAGGGAGCTGGAGGTTCCCACTCCAGGGAATGGCAGTCGGGTGCGTGGGCTGTGGGGAGGCTGGCGACTGGGAGCCTGGACACCAGTGTCCTAAGGAAATGGGGTCCCGCCGCTTGGACAGGAAGAAGGCTAGGGGTGCAGACCAGGACCCTAGGGAAGTAGAAGCTGGGACTCCATGGTCCTAGAGAAATAGAGGTTGGGCATGGGGGAGGGGTTTACAGGGTACTGGAACAGAACTGAGAGCATGGACAATGGACTTCTGTACTCACCTGCGGGACAGGAGGCCAGGGCCCCCCTGGAGGTGACACTCTGGCAGTTCAGACCAATGTTTCTCACTGCCTCACGAACTGCAGGAGGGAGTAGGAAGGGGTCTGTGAGACCAAGCTGCCCAGGCCCCGGTGGCTTGGAGATAGGCATAGGATCTAGAAAATTCCCTTGAGGAGGGCCCAGGTGGTCCAGGGCCTTGTGGAGAGCCTAGGTGATGGGGAGTTTACCTGGAGTGTGTCTTGAGGTGGGTGTTTTGGAGGAAGGAGGGTTTGGAGCTTTGGTTAAAGGTGGAGCTGGATGGGGTTGGGATTGGGTCAGGTTTAGAGTTATGGTTTGCTTAAGGTTGGGTTTGAACTTGAGGTTTCGTTGGGGTTGTGGTTGTGGTTCGGTTGGGTTTGGGGTTGAGGTTTGGTTGGGGTTAGGCTGAAGGTATAGGTTTATCTGGGATTGGAGTTAGGGTTGGGTTGGGTTGGGTTGGGGTTGAGCTTTGGTTCAGGTTGGAGTTGGGGCTGACTTGCCCTTTGCTCCAGGAATCGAATCAGAGGGGCCTCTGAGGTCCCTCCTGTGGTTGAATGTGAAAGTCCTTACTTTGGGAGCTGGTGGCATCCTGGATCTTTTCATTGATGGCTTCGTCTACGGGACACAGCGACTTGCCATGCACCAGCAGCCCCAGGACAGGGAGGAAGAGGAGAGAGAGAGCCTTCATCCTGCAGGACTGGAAGAGGGAACCAAAAGACCCACAGCTGGGTCAGCCCCTGTCCATCCTGGGGAGGGTCAGGCCCACAGAGCACGTGGAATCTGGAACCCTGGGTCCCTGTGGAGAATGGGGCTGAAGCCCCTGCTTTGCCTCCCGCCAGGGCTCTGGGGAGAAGCAGGAGCAGCTGTTGCTTACCTTTTCGGCAGACTCAGCAGGCCAAATCTTGGACACAATTCCATGCTGCTGCCACATCTCCCTCTTTAAGGCCTCTGGGTGTGGGGCTTCCTGTCTTGCATAATACTACCTTTATTATGTGGTACATAATACCACATAATACCTCCTGGCCCTCCCTTTCCAAATCCGGGACCAAGAGGAAGCCCCGAGAGCAAGCTGCAGGGGCCCAGGGGTAGAAGCTTTGTCCCCCTTCAAGAGCCCTCCCTCCCCACATCCGTGCTGGGACTGGTCCAGAAGGTAGCGCCTGCGGGATGATTCCAGAAGCCATATTACAAGAGACAGGTAGAGAAAGGAGTTTGCAAGTAAGGGTAGGGAACATAAACATGACCACAATAACATCCCTGTGTGCGAATTGCAGATCATGTTCATATCCAAATGCCTACCAGCAATAGAATGGATAAATAGAAGCACAGTTTATCCTCAGTGGAACAATCTACAATGGTCTGTGGGCCAAATCCTGCCAGCTATCTATTTCTGTATGACCCATGAGCTAAGAACGGTTTTTACTTTTTTTGTTTCTTTCCAATAGAAATTGATATTTTAAGTGGTGGTAAAAGACACATAACAAAATTTACCATTTTAACTATTTTTAAGTGTACAGTTCAGTGGCGTTAAGTACATTCACAATGCTGTGCAGCTACCACCCCTATTCATTTCCAGAACTTTTTTACCTTCCCAAACTGAAACTCTGTCCCCATTAAACACTAACTCCCCATCCCCGTCCCCAACCCTCTGGCACAACCATCTACTTCCTGTCTATGAATCTGACTCCTCTGGGGACCTCATATAAGGGGAATCACAGTGTTTGTCCTTCTGTGTCTGGCTTATTTCACTGAGCACCATGTCCTCCAGGTTCATCCATATTGTATAGCATGTACCAGGACTTCATTTGTTTTTAAGGCTAAATTCCATTTTATGTTACATTCGTTTACCCATTCATCTATTGATGGACAGTCCAGTTGTTCCTTGGCTATTACAAGTGATGCTGTTATGAACATGGTTGTGCAAATATCTCTTGGAGTCCCTGCTTTTAATTATCTTGGGTGTACACCCAGGAGTGGAATTGCTGGATTACATGGCAATTCTATATATTTGAACTTTGGGGAGCAACTGCTGAGCAGTTTTTACATTTTTAAATTGTTGAAAAAATATTTAGTATTTAGTGGCAGATGAGAAGTATATGACATTCAAATCTCATTCTCCATAAGTAAAGTTTTCTTAGCACGCTTTCACACCCACGTTTTCATTATCATCTGTGGCTGCTTTAGCAGAGTTGAATAATTGTGACAGAGACCATATTGAGGCAGGACATGGAGCTTAGGAAATTGACAGCCCCCTCCAAGGCACAATGTGAGGTGCTTCACTGGTTATACCAGTAACAGAGTGAATGTATCCAGTACCTACAGCTGCAGAAAAGTAAGAACCAGTTTCTTCCAACTAGGCAGATCCCTATGAACACGACCTGACCCTTAGATAATTATAATGTCATTATAATCTCAATTGTGTTGCGGCTCCTGCGACTCCCATCGTGCACCTGGTGCCATGACAGTTCTGGAAGAACCAAATAAGGAAGAAAAAGCAGGAAATTGAGGGTACCACCCAGGAGGAGAAGATGAATGAGCCACATCAGTGGGACATCACCAATTCCATCCTGGGAGGTATAAATACCTCTGATTATGACTTCCTCAGTACGACTCTTCTCCGAGTGCACCCTCACTTTCCTCTCAAGGGTATACTTTCATTTTCAATAAATCACACTCACTTTCCTGCATCTGTCTCACTGTTGAATTTTTTCTTGCACGCTGCTCTTGGTTGAATCCTCTCTTGGACATCCCCATGAGCCTCTGGCAACAATATGGCCCACAAAACTAACCACATTTACTATCTGGTCCTTTACAGAAAAAACTTTTGCCTCACCCTGGTCAACAGCAATGAGTGTGAATGAGAGACCGATGAATGGATTGCAGCTACATGCAACAGTTTGGATGATTCTCACCAATGTAATGTTGAGCAAAAGTGCCCAGACACAAAAGAGAACGTACCACAGAAATCCTTATTTGCATGCTTTTCTTTAAGCCTGTTATATTTTAATAAAAGTGGTGTGTGTGTGCGTGTGTGTGTAATCCCTGTGTAGACACTACAGTACACAGGGCCAAATATAAACTACATTTATTGAGCACCAACTATGTGCCAGATGTTGCACTAAGCTCTGTGCATCTTGTAGGGAGCAAAGGGGCATTCCTGCCCCCGTGCAATTTGCCCTTGCCTGTCCGGGAAGACAGACACCAAGAGAACACTTAATCAGCCTCCAATTTCACCTGTCATCGGTGCCCTGAAGGAGAGGAACACCATTCTGGGAGAACTTCTGACAAGAATCTAGCCCCAAAATACAGGAACCCAAGAAGGTTTTTGTGGAGGAAGAGATGGCTGAGTGGAAATTGGAGGATGAGCAAGCATTAACCAGGAGGACAAGCCAGAGAAAACATTCCCGGCGAGGGAATTGCATGTCCCAAGAGGAAGGACAAAGGGCACCAATTTTGAAGAACTGAAAAAACACTAGTGGGGCAAGAAGGCAGAGAGCTTGGTTGGGATAAATGAATCCCACAGGTTCCCTTCTTTGAAGACTCTGTCAACGAAGAAAAAGTTTAGGCTGTAATAAAGAATAAGTGGCATTTATTTGAAGTTGGGGTTTGTACAGGCAAAACCTACAAGGCGTAACTCTTTCCTGCAAACAAAGGGTTGCTGCTAGGTTAACAGGCCTAACTCTTTCCTGCAAACAAAGGGTTGCTGCTAGGTTAACAGGGCTTGGTTAATTCCAATATGCAAATGAGGGGGGTGAAAACTACAAGGAGGAGGTCAAGTCCATAGGTGTCCACGCAGCGGTTGTTCCAGGATGTGTATGGCTCAGCCTTGAGCTGAGTTTAGCAACAAGTTAGCAACTGAAGAGCAGCTCTGAGAACTGAGGCACAAGACGTGCAGAGGCCCCACTTCCAGAATAGCCTCCAGACTGTACTTTAAGTGGGTCTCTTAGCAATGCTTGTTCCATATTATTGTTTTTTTTCATTACCAACCCCCACAGTTTGGGCAAAGGGTAGCTCGAGAGGTGGCAAAAATCATTTTTTCAGAGCTCTCATTTTTCAAACTTTTTAGTCTCAGAACTTTTCAGATAAAAGCTTTTGAGGAGTGCAGAAGAAGTGGGGAGATTGAGAGTGCAAAGCAGGGAGACTATGTGGAAACCCTGGAAACTCACTTTGAAAACCATTGGTTCGGTAGCAGGAAAAGTCCACGTGTCCCTTCTCTTTTTAAAAAAGTCCTTTCATTTCCCCTGAGTTCTACCAGTGACTCTTGAGCTCTACTGGCTTTAATTTTGCACCTTATGTTATCTGATATAATTTGCAGAGTCAAGTCTTTAAAAAAGTACAATAGGACAATCATACACTTGTAACTTTTAAAAATCCATTCTACTGGGCCGGCCAAGTGGTGCAATGGTCAAGAACTGGCTTAGGATGCCAGAGAGCCCCGGTTCGGATCCCACATACGAGGGTCACTGACACTGCCCTCCACAGCTAAGATGCTGAACAACAGCTCATCCTGGAGCTGGGCTGCCCTGAGTCGCCGGCGACGGTGTAGGCTGCATCCCCTGTGGCAGTGGGTTGCCATGGGCTACCGGGCATAGGCTGCAGCCCCTGTGGCAGTGGGTTGCCATGGGCTACCGTGTGTAGCCAGCAGCCAGCGTGAGCGGCCAGCAGCCGCAGTGAGCGGCCGTCCAGAAGCCGGCGACTGATCTGCCTCGCCCGGGAAGAGCGCAATGATGGTGCCAACTTGGGCCAGTGAAGCAACGTCCTCCCCAACTAGACTGAAGAACAAAAGGACAGCAACTTGTCTGTTCCCCTTCCCCCAATTCCCCACCGCTGTTCCCATCCCCCCAATTCCCCAATAAAAATCTTTAAAAAAATAAAATAAAATAAAAATAAAAATCCATTCTACTGAGCTATAATTCCCATACAATAAAGCTCATCTATCTTAAGTATTCAGTTGGATGCATTTTAACAAATGTATATACCTGCATGCTGCATAACTGTTTTGTTTTTTGCAAGTATTTTTTTTTAATCACTGTAATTTACACACAGTAACATTCACACTTTTCAGTGAGTTCTGAGTTTCGACAAATGCATGGTTGTAGAACTATCACTGCCAAATAATAATTTAAATTACAACTGGAAAACAAAAGTGGCTTCTGAAAGATCTGAAGGAAATCTGTGTCCTGAAGCCACAAAAAGGTGATTTTTCTACCGCATACAGCTGGTTTCCCATATAGCTGGTTTTCCAGTGCGTTTGAAGACCTTGTGAATATTCATAACAGTTACCAGCTCATTCTCTCTCTGTTAATACACATTTGCCCTTGAAGGGTTATTTTGAACAAAGGGTCCCTGTATGACTAGGAAGTCTAGAAACTTTTGCCACATTCTGTGAAACTGACCTCGACAGGCAACCCACACTTCTGATTGGTTGCCGTCATAGATGATAACTTGTTGCCTGAGTGACACTGTTGCAATGACTCGTGGTTCTGCCAAATCAGAAAAGGATCATTAACAGTTGCATCCTGTCTGTCTTACAGAAATGTTGTAAAGAAAAGGAAAAGTTTTGGAACACTTTCAGATTTTTTTAGCAGCGAGTTGGAGAACTTTGCCTCTTTTATGTCAATACTTGGGGGAGGGAGTGTGGATCTGCCTTGCAGAATGGGAGAGGACAAGTGGGTGGCTCTGGCAGGACCCACTGGGGGCCAGGCTGTGCCTTGGGACAAGGAGCGGCAAGAAACTTGAGGGTGGGGTGGTGAAAACCGTGGCAATTTTTAGTGTGAACAACCCAAGATTTTTCTTTGCAGAGACCCACTCCCGCCTCTGTGTTCCCCTGGCTCTTGCCTTCTTATAGAATATAATCAATCATTCACTTCCAAGCTCCCAAGTCAGTTCTGACATGATCATATCTACTAATTGTTGAATGCTTATGCCTGTGATGAGCAAT